ACCAGGCCTTTGGTTGAGGACAGCGACGGGTACCATCCTGCCTGGCACTTGCTCTCTCCTTCTCTCCCCCCCTAACTACGTTCCCACCTTACTCCCCCACGAGGTGGGGGCACAGTTATAATTAGATGTATCTATGCCATCTGAATAATTATGAACTGTTACTTATGAAATTGTTTTTATATATGGAATTGTTTTAATCAGCTTTAATCACGAATTGTTTGGATACGATATGTATTGTTGTTCGTAACTCAGAGCCCCGAGTACTCAGGGATTGAGCAATTTCTAAATCTAACTTTAATTAATTAAATAAATAAATAAATAAGAAGTACTACAAAACAGTATTCCCTGCTCCCACCAAAAGCCCATCAGGTTATCATGGTATTGAAACCTGCTGAGTGGTCCAGAAGAATTAACAGGGATATGCTGTCCTTGTCCATCTCCTGGCACAGATAATCAACTAAGGAATCCCGTTAAACCACTGAATCCAAGGAAACCTGGAATTTAAATATCAACACATGCTTAGTCATTCTGCCCTGGAATGGTATGTTGAAGACTCAGTGACCTAAATTGGTTTTAAATTGGGGACATATGGAGGTGACATTTTTCCTTAGTGATCACTCTGTGGTTTCCTTAGGTGCCATGAGAACTGATTCCTCTCTTGATGGGTCATTTTCTGCTTCAGCATGTTCCCCCTTTCCTCCAAGCTGCTCTCAAACCAGGATAATCCAAGATGACCCGTTATTTGTTGGTATCACATCTTCCGATTCCTTTGACCATATAATTATGTTGAACAAGCTGATATTGTGTAACAAATTGTGTGATCATTGGGGAACATGTGGGGAAAGGCGGCCCCTCAGGTCACTAGGTTGGTTCTCTTACCCAAGGCAAACCCTAAATTCACTGATCATTGGCTAAAACAGGTAGTGATTTGGCCATGACATTGGGATTATTGCCAATTCTGCCACTCCCAGATAATGAACTTAATGTGTCATAAGAACATAAGAGACGCCAATGTTGGATCAGGCCAAAGGCCCATCCAGTCCAACACTCTGTGTCACACAGTGGCCAGAAATACCAGTGCCATCAGGAGGTCCACCAGTGGGGCCAGGACATTAGAAGCCCTCCCACTGTTGACCCCCCCCCCAAGAACCAAGAAGATAGAGCATCACTTGCCCCAGAGACCCGATCTATACCGTGTGGCTAATAGCCACTGATGGACCTCTGCTCCTTATGCTTATCTAATTCCCTTTTGAAGCCGTCCATGCCTGTAGCTGCCACCACTTCCTGTGGCAGTGAATTCCATGTGTTAATCACTCTTTGGGTGAAGAAGTACTTCCTTTTATCCGTTCTAACCCGACCGCTCTGTAGTTCATGGAGTGCCCACGAGTTCTTGTATTGTGAGAAAGGGAGAAAAGTACCTCTTTCTTTACCTGCTCTTTCCCATGCATAATCTTATAAACCTCGATCATGTCACCCCTTAGTCGTCTTTTCTCCAAGCTAAAGAGCCCTAAGCGCTTTAACCTTTCCTCATAGGGAAAGTGTTCAACCCTTTTATCATTCGAGTTGCCCTTTTCTGCACTTTTTCCAAAGCTATAATATCCTTTTTAAGGTGTGGTGCCCAGAACTGCACACAGTATTCCAAATGAGGTCTCACCATTGATTTATATAGGGGCATTATTATATTGGCTGATCTGTTTTCAATACCCTTCCTAATAATCCCCAGCATAGCATTGGCCTTCTTTATTGCAGTCACACACTGTCTCGACATTTTCAGTGAGTTATCCACTACAACTTCAAGATCTCTCTCTTGCTCAGTCTCTGCCAGTTCAGACCCCATCAATGTGTATTTATATTTAGGATTTTTGGCTCCAATGTGCATCACCTTGCACTTGGCCGCATTGAACCCCATTTGCCATGTTGACGCCCACTCGCCCATCCTTGACAGATCCCTTTGGAGTGCCTCACAATCCTCACTGGTTTTCACCACCCTGAACAACTTTGTATCATCCGTAAATTTAGCCACTTCAATGCTTACTCCCATCTCCAAATCATTAATGAACAAGTTAAAAAGCAGTGGACCAAGTACTGATCCCTGCGGTACCCCACTGCTTACCACCCTCCACTGCGAAAATTGCCCATTTATACTCACTCTCTGTTTTCTATGAATTAGCCAGTTTTTGATCCTGTTTTATGTGTTGGGACAAATAGCATCAGACACATTCCATTGTTGTCCACCTCTGCTTCCTTGCCTCTCTTACCTTAGCTGCTGTTGAACTGGAATTTTAAGTGGACAGCACTGGAATAGATTAACCACATCCATCTGGACCTCTGTAATTAATAATTATCATATGGCATTGTGTGTAGAATAGCCAGGAGATCCTAAGATAGTCTGGCAGCCAGAGGTTCTAGCTCTTTTACCATTATGCACCAGTAGGTGGTGAGCTAGACTTGTTTTTAGGCAAGAGACATTTCAGAGGTGGTTTTACCATTGCCTGCCTCTTTGTCACAGGCCTGGTATTCCTTGGAAGTTGCCCTTCCAAACATTAGCCAAGGCTGACCCTGCTTAGCTTCTGAGATCTGACGGGATCAGGCTAGCTTGGGCTGTCTTGGCTTCAGATGGACCTCTGTAATATTTAATTTTTAATTTTTTAAATTTATTTTCAGATTTATACCCTGCCCTCCCAGCCAAGGCCGGCTCAGAGCAGCTTATATAAAAGAATAAAACACAAACATAAACAATTTAAATAGACCTAAAACCATATAAAACATTCCAACATTTTAAAAGTGCTAACATTAATAACACTAATAGGTTATTAAATGATGGCAGTCAACTTTCAGTACAGCCGGCACAGACTGTTCTGGTGGCTTCGGGGAACAGGGTTCTCTATCAAGGGCGGCTCCTAATGGAAGGCCTGGTGGAAGAGCTCCATCTTGCAGGCCCTGTGGAACTGCATAAGGTCCCGCAGGGCCCTGATCTCTTCTGGGAATTCATTCCACCAGAGAGGAGCCACCACCGAGAAAGCCCTGGCCCTGGTTATAGCCAGCCTGGGATCCTTGGGTCTGGGGAGTGCCAATCGATGTTGGAACCCTGATCGCAGTGCTCTCTTGGGAACATGTGAGGAAAGGCCACTAGGTTGGCACTAGGCCATTCAGGCCACTAGGTTGGCTTTCTTACCCAGGGCAACCCCTAAATTTACGGTAGATTTGCCATTTTCTGTCCTGGTTTTAGTCAGTAATTTTCAGACAAGGTGGGATAGTGATGTGACAAGAAACAAATTTTTGGTTGTAAGAGACACTAGAGGGAATAGATTGCAAAAGTTTAGTCTCTCTTCCGCTTACCTGACTTGGTTCCCCCCCCCCTCCATTTTTTCCTTGCTTCACAGTCCCCTGATGGTGGCACCTACCACTCTCCTGGCCCCCCTCTGAGTACATCCCACACACGTCTGGATGTACAAACCTGACACTCTGCCTCTCCGGTGCATTCACTGTCCCCTAGCAAGTAATCCACTCCATCTGAACTACCCAACAGGTAGGAATATCCACTACCTCATTACAGTACCACTATTGAACTACTACAGCTTCAGCCTTGCAAGGGGATGCATTTGCTCTTTCAGGCTGACTTGCCATCAGTAGCAGTTCCGGGGAAGTAAGCACTTCTCTCTCTCTCACACACACACACACACCCATGGTGTCTCTGCTTCGGATGGACAGAACTGTATCACCTGTTGCACTTGTATAGTGAATAGAGCAGGGGTCCCAGCTTTTTTGGGCCTGCAGATACCTTTGGAATTCTGATACAGTATGGTGGGGGCTGTCAGAGGAGGCAGAGCCAGCTGTGCAGTGGCTGCTGTAGTTTACCTTCAGTCACACAGTGAAGATCCTTGTACTGTGCTGGCATCTGCTGCTGAGGCAACATTTTTACAAATCTGCACAGCCCATCAAATTTCCAGAGGCCAATCAGAAGACTTGCTGGGCAAAAGGCCCAACCTGTCCCTGCCCACATTCTAAAAATACTTGGAGGTGCCAGGAAAGGTGTCTGCAGGAACCATGGCATCCACAGGAATGACTGTGGGGACCCCAGGTTTAAAACGTTGAACCAGGTAGGTCCACGTTCAAGCCCATCTTCATCCATAAAGCTTGTTGATTGGTTGCACTGTCTTCCCCTACTGTATCTCATAGGATTAGGTTTCCACTAACCAAAAGCACTTCTGTCAGCATAGCAAAGCTTTCTGGTCTCTCCCCTTCTGCAGCAGCCAATAGATCTTCCCCAAATGCTGCTCCTGGGGACAGGGGACCCTCAAGAATGGTATTAGGGGGAAACTGATGGTCTGCAGAAGGAAGGGGGAATTAGCAGAAATTATACTTCCCCTTCTGTTAAGCAGAAAACTTATTCTGTACCCCACACATAGCATTGTTAGGATAAAGGTCATCCGGTGAGCTTCATGGTTGAGCAGAGATTGGAATCCAGGTTGGGGCTCCACTGCACAGGTTTGAAGTGGGAAAGGCTCTGTTTCCTAGTGAGGCAGGCTGTCTCTGAATTATGGCAGGTTGGGGGAGGCAGGGGGCTCCGGTTCTACTCTTCCCTTTGCTGGTCTAATGATTAGCCAAGGCTGCTATTCAAGTTTTTTAAACCCAGTGTTTTTCCATACGTTTATAAGATAGGGACACTGGCTGTTTTGTAAGCTATTTGATATAGTCTGAAATCCTGTCCAGAATTCTGAAGACTGGCTCAGACATACCACTGAAAACAGTGCATGCATTTAAAATATTTATGTTCTACTTGCACAATCAAAACACATCACTGACCCAGCTGAAGGTAGGCAGTGAAGTAGGGTCTGTCATTTTTATCTCCCTGCTGTTACCTTTTATTGCATTAATTCAAAGATTGCTTATCTATGGCATGTTTTGGTTAGGAATAAAATATAAAGTATATGCTGGTAATTACAGCAATTTGAGTTTTTTTTGGAATAATTATGGATACTTTGTCTTTCCCCATTCAGGCTACTGAAGAAGTTTCAAAAAATCTAGTTGCCATGAAAGAAATCTTATATGGCACAAATGAAAAGGAACCCCAGACAGAAGCTGTGGCCCAGCTTGCTCAAGAACTGTACAACAGTGGTCTTCTTAGCACCCTAGTAGCCGACTTGCAGCTAATTGACTTTGAGGTAAGAATATGATGGCTCATGGAAAAGATTACATTAAAATTAAGTGTGTGAGATATCCTCTAGCATCTCAAACTTTGGGGTGGGTGGGTAGGCTGAGGTATAACATTTGAGAGTATTAGCAAAATGTAGACATCTTTTATGTATATAATACATATATATATATATATATATTAATGCACTGCCTGTGCTGTGTATTGGCATACCATACTACAATGTACAATCGCCTTGTAGTTTTGTATCTTGTGCACAAGAAATAAAGCACACAGTTCCAGGGAGACTTATAGGAAGCAATATCTAGCAACATATTAACAGTGTACACAGGGGTAGATAACCACATATTGAGTTGTATCTGCCAAAGCCTTTGCCACAATTTGTCCCAAGACTCCTCCCTTTGATCTAATGGATTTTTCCACCCTTGCTATTTGTCCCCATTGCCCTAATTAGGGACAAGAAAAGGTCTACTAAAAGAAGTAGTCAGGAGTGAATACAAGCTCCCTGCAACGATGCAGATCCTCATGGACAGAGAAGACATTGTGTAAACTGTAGCCCCATTTCATACCCAGTATGTATCAGGCACTAAGGATAATATCCATCCGGGGGGATGACAACGACAGAGAATAGGAGGCAGAAGAAGAATGGAGAGGAAGTCAGCAAGAATGTTTCCTTAGCGGTTTCCTGTTGTCTACACTTGCTCCCTCCATCCATAGCGAAAGACAGATTGGAGTAAAAGAAGAAATGGGGAATTTGTGTGAGTGCGTGTGTGTGGGAGGAGATCTAGAATGTCATGGCACACCTGATTTTGTGTTCCAAGTGTGTTGTGTGCAAGTTATCTGAGCTACAAAAGTATTTGTAGGTTTAGCTGCAAATAGTTTGTCCAAGCTTGGTTTTGAGGAGAGCTAGGATGAGCATGCACATTTCTAGTTCCTTCTGCTGAAAGGCGTATGGAACTCTTTGCAGGTGGAGCAGTTTCACATGTGCATTGTCACTTTTGCGGTATTGCTGAATTGACAAACTAGCTGTTTTAACTGTGTTGACTGGGAGATTACTGTGATTAGCTAGCAACGCTGCTGTGGTTTTGATTCATTGTAACTTATTTGCTTTGAAATTCCAAGAAGTCACATCTCTCCCTTTTATCTTAAAATCTGAACCAGAGGGCAGTTTGTCCTTCAAATATATCTTGGTATGGTGGGTTCACTTGGAATGTCAAATCTCTCTTGGATTCATTTTTGAAATTGATTGCTATGAAACATGTATTTCCCTTGCAGGTGCATTCCAGAATAGATTAATCAGGAAGCCAACAAAACTGTAGCTGTGATTAGCAGTACAGTGTCCTTATAAAGCTGGTTTCATGTTATGTATTGGGAGATACACTAAACTTTATTATATAAAGTTTTAGAAAACATAACCTTTCTCTGTGCTTTCTCTGTGTGCATATTTTGTTCTCTCCAGCACATACATTCAGAAAGCTCATTTTCTGAGGGCTCCTTTTGCATGACAGTCTGTAAAGAAAACCTCTGTGTCTACACACAACTTAACATGGTACACTGGCCAGGCATACTAGGCTTTATTGTTACCTTACACAAACTGATGGTATACCCTAGAATACATTCTGAGCTGACAACAGTGGTCTGCGTGGCTGGGCAATTGCCAGGGTCCTCAGATCAACAGTAGGTACATAACTGAAGTGGGGGGATGGGGGATGATTAATCTAAGTCTCCTGCTTCTACCTCTAGAGCCTTAGATATGGTGTCTATCAAGAATGGAAGGTTGTCCTTGCAGTGGCTCCAGGAGAGCTGGGCCAGTTTCCCAGTGGGAAGGGTTCCTGCTTTTGGCTTTCCCCGGAAGATTGGTGGCATTGGAAAGCCAAAGCTGGCTGTGATCACCGCCAGTCCTCCCTGAAGGGAATTTTGTTCTCTCTCGTAGTGATCTTGTCATTGAGGAACTTCTTTGAAAAACATTGGTGTAAGCTAAAGCTGTAAAGTATTTCTAGCAGTTGTGAAAGTTTGTGTCCACACTGGTATACAATTTTCTTTTTAATCGAATGATAGACATTGAATTTAAGCCAGAATGCAAAGAGCTTGGAGGTGCCTATACAGTTTTTTTTTCAGCTGAAGACCATCCCTGCCAACCCTGCCAATTATTGCAAAAATGTTTTTAAACACTCCTGCATTTCAAAAGCAATTTCCTGTGCATGGGAGATGGCTGTTTGATTGGATTTTCCTGAACAAGTTGCTGAGGGGACAGTGTCTAAAATTCAGAAGTGTCATTGTTTTGCTTGCAGGAATAATGATAGCTATGGCTGCTTTCTTTGCTTGTGGGGTACTGAAACTATATCCCCTCTACTCTACCCTCCCACCAGCCACATAACTTTTCAATGTGTCACCCTGTCAAACCAAAAAATAGCCAGCCAGCTGTGAGACCTCACACTGTTTAAAGTACAATTTAGTATTTTACTGTAATGTTTCAGTGGTTTGTTAATCGCCCTGAGATGGTTGTTCGCTTTGACAAGCAGAATATAAATTTTCTAAACACATAAGTGATAGCAAAACATAAATGTACAAATAGGTTCCCAGCTAAATGAAGTCTGGCATAGTTTCAAACTAAACCATCCCGCTTCTTCTTTTCCCTCCTACTTGAACCTATAACCTTCTAAAAACATTAACTCACTTTACAGCACATGCTCATGGCTTCTCTATCACTGTGCACTTTTCCATATCCGTATATAATAGAACCACCCACCCACACAAAAGTTAGTTAGTGGGCTTTCACAGGGCACAAAATGGATACGATGGACTGGGGCAATCATAAAATGCTGTGGGTTCTAGGGGTGTGAAGCTCAGTGTATACCAAGCCAAATAAATACCTGAAAAATACCTTATCAGCTACTGAAACAACTGCACCAAAATAAAAGCAGATATTATTTGGCTTTTATTTGGGCGCGGCTAGAAGGCTGAATTGACTCGATGAGTCAGATTTAAAGTTTAAATGCTTGCTGAGTTGAATCACAGAGGTGGCACGACTCTGTGGAGTCAAGTCAGCAAGCATTTAAACTTTAAATCCCTGCTGAGTTGACTCCAGCACAACCCCTGCAACCACCATCAAGTCCCCTGTATCCCTTACTCCATGTGGATCACTTCCTTCGCTGGGTCAAATCCAGCCTTCCTGGGGTACTGCACTCCCAACTGAGTATCCAGAAGGTGCCCCTGGGCATCCAGGAGGCCACTTCCTGACACACACCCCTTCGCTGCTGTTGTGAGCAAGCCCCCCCCTTGCCTTCTCCCCCCTGAAAAAGCACCTTCCTGGGGTGCTGGAGACCCCATTATTTTACTGCTCTCACCTCCTGTCCTTCCTCTACCACCACCAAGGGTCGGCCAGCTGGACAACCCCCCGCAACTTCCATCAAATCACCTGCACCCCTTTTTCCTTGTGGGTCACTTCCCCTAGTCAAACCCTGCCTTCCCAGGGTGCTGCAGTCCCAAATGAGTATCGAAAAAGTGCCTCTTTGCACCCTCTCTAACATCCAGGGGTCCGCTTCCCGACCCCCCTTCGTTGCCACTGTGAGCAAGCCCCCCCCTTTCACCTTCTCCCCCCCCCCCCGTGAAAGCACCATCTTGGAGTGGTGAAGACCCTGTTCTTTCACTGCTCGCACATTTTGGCCTTCCTCTACCCCTGCCAAGAGTTGACCCACTGGCATGACCCCTGCAACCTCTGTCAAATTTCCTACTGATCCTCAGTCTGCTCTGTGAGATGCACTTGGTGCTTGTCCATTTCCCATGGGCAAAACTCAGTGAATCAACTCAGCATCCTCCACCACCCCCCTGCTCCTTCCCCCCCCCAGCGAGGGCCAGCGTTTTGCTGCCACCTGGGGCTCGCGGCCGCCCGCAGTCGCCCCGGACAGCTGGCTGGCTGGCTCCGAGGCGGCGGTGACGCCGGTGAGGCCGGCTGCTCCCCCATCCCTCGCCCGGCCGCCCTCATCCGCCCTCGGCCCGGGCGACTTTGTGGCTGCGGCGGCAAGGCCGGCTGTTCCCCCCTCACTCGTCCGCCCGCCCTCGTCCGTCCTTGGCCCGGCCAACTTCATGGCTGTGGCGGCAGCGGCGAGGCCGGCTGTTCCCCCCTCCCTCGTCCGCCCTCGGCCCGGCCAACTTCGTGGCGGCGGCGGCGGCAGCGAGGCCGGCTGTTCCCCCCGCCCTCGCTCCCTCCCTCGGCCCGGCCGACTTCGTGGCGGCGGCGGCGGCAAGGCTGGCGGCAGAGCGTTTCCTGCGCATTTAAATATCCCCCTGATATTTTGGGGGGCTTTTTCGATTTTTGTGCACACGTGGGGACTGGCCCACGTGTGCACAAACCTCCCCCGCCCCCCCAGCTGCCCCCGGAGCGCTGATTTAGCGATCCGCACTCCGGGGGCAACTTCGCTATTAGATATATAGATGGGGATAGTTCCCATAGGGTATAATGGAGCTGAATGAATTTGGGTTCCCTGAATATTTACCTGAATTCCGATACAAAACTGACATTAGTATTTGGAAATACCGATATTTTGGGGGTCCAATGGACCCGAATCGGGAACCCCACCCCTTTTTTTTGCACCCCTGTCACAGCTCAGGTGGGGTGTCACCTGATGCTGCCACCACTCTGGTTCCAGGGTCCTCTGAGAAGGCCCAGAGCACCCTCCCAGGCCTTTAGACCTCCCTTTTGGCTGAATAATAGGCATGAGGACCAGGCAGAGTGAACAAGGAGAATAGTTTATTTTATAGGAGGTCAAACAAACAAGGTGCAGAATAATAACAGTAAGTGGGTGAAAAGAAAAGAAATCAGATGCCCTAACACGTCTAAATATATACTGTCCCTAGCTCACTATCAAGTGGCCTTAGACTACTCACCCTTCCCTCAGGATGAGGGTTTCTTCCCCACAGCAGCCTCAGTCCCTTCTGGCTCTGTTCCCTGGGAAGAATAACAGCTTCCTCTCTTGTACCAGTTCCTATATTCCCCAGCCCTCTTCTTCCCTATTGGTCAAAATCGGCGCCAAAACTTCCCAAGGCCTTCTAGGGTTTGTAGGCCCAGCCTCCCTTACTGCTAGCCAGGCTCCCTGGGCCTAGTAGGCCTCTGGTGGCACAGCCCAGATCATGACAGCACCCCTAGTAGGTTCCAAGCCAAGTGTTTTGGTATGACAGAAGGAGTTGTGTCCAAATAGGCACTCCCAGCAGATGCAGTGTTGCTTGGCTCTGGTGATGGCGTTTGGTTTCAGTTTACAAAGAAAGTAGAGTGTTTGTTCCCTGTGTGACCATGAGGAGAGTGCCTGTGCTCTAAAGTTGACATTGGTTCATAATCTTTTGGGAAAAAAATTAACTGATGTTTAAAGTTAGATTTGATCCCCCCCCCCAAAAAAAAAAAAGTGATAGATTTTATATCCCAAATTTCTCATTGTGTATACCTGTGGGCTGCTTTATTCTTGAGAGGTAGATCCATTCTTCAAGGAATGTCTACTGGTATGGACATGTGAGGGCAATCTGGCTGCGACATCTGTCACCCAGTCTGGCTAGGCAGGAGTCCCCTACCCCCCCTTACTGCTCCATTTGCATCCCTCCTGAAGCTGTGTGCTCGGTAGAAGAGGAGGACCATTCAGATACAAGGAGTGTACCTTTCTTTGGTCAAGGGTATACAATAGCTGAGTTACCTTGCTAGGGTCTCCAGACAAGGAATGTCTACTGGTATATACACAAAGATTCACCCAATCACCTATCTCATTAATACATTGACACTGTTGCTTTGAGATGTAGTACATGGAACACAGAATGTCTTTATTTCTGCCATAAGCAGGCAGTACTTCAATTCCTAGAGTGATGGTTTAGGTTTTCCTGCTTAAAAAGTGCTCTTCCCCCCCCCCCCCAACAGTATCTTCTGCATAGGTCAGGCTTGTAGATTTTGTTCCCTACTCCTGCCAAGGTATTGTGTGTCAATGACAAAGTTGCATTACTTGGAAGTAGTAAATGCTTCAAACAATAACTTAATTGCATATTGCTGCGTACCATTACCAAGTTCATTATGCAACTAACAAGGAAATGCTGTTACTAACAGCAAATACAGAGAGAATAATGGGACCCTAGGCAAAGCTGGCTGAGCTGGTGAATGACACTTGACTGTTGTGCCACGAGGGGCTTGGGTGAGGCAGTTTACCAAAATACTGCACTACTCATTGCCAGAACAAAGAGCTCTGGCGCTACTTTAGGCTAGTTTACAATAGTTAAACATCTTGTAAATGCTGGGGCTTTTTTAGATTTTATGTTCTGACCATAGCTCAACATCAGTTGTACAGGCCAGAAGGCCCAGTTTTCTGTGACTGGTTCACATGAAGCTGCAATAAAATTTAAACAATACAACCTATGTGTGGTCGTAGAGACTGGTGGTATTGGTCACAGAATTGACACCCCCTTTCCTGGGTAGCCTGACTTGGATAGCCCAGGCTAGCCTGATCTCATCAGAACTCAGAAGCTGAGCAGTGTTGGGGGACCACCAAGGAATTACTCTATGCAGAGGCAGGCAATGGCAAACCACCTCTGAACGTTTCTTGCCTTGAAAAACCTTATGGGGGTCACGTAAGCTAGCTGTGGCTTGATGGCTCTTTACACACACTCCCAAACACTGTTCTGGATGGGTGCTGACCTTGTAGTTGGAGTACATGTAATTAATCCTTTCTTATGTGGCTGGGTCACTAGGATGTGATCAAAGCCACACAGGGGCCACTAACAGAAAAATGGAACCTATTTGGTCAAGTTTAAAGGGCCTAGGGAGTATCAAAGAGGTCTTACAGCTGTTTGTGTGAGATAAAGAAGGCTGTCTTCTTGCTCAAAAGTTTTCCAATCCCTGAATATCAGAATCTTTATTGAAAGAATTCCTTCAATTGGTTCAATAAAGAGCTATGAGAAAATCTAGTGGAGTTCATTGCTGGCGAGACAGTTGATAGGCCTGCAAGGTCAGCTCTCAGAGGATACTGATTCTGTAGGATCAGAAAAGGCTCTGACCCAAATCCTAGCAATCTTGCCTTTTGATAGAAAGGAACATTGCATTGGAGGCAGCAAAGAAACTTCCTTATTCATTAACTTACAGTCAGACATGAGCAGAGGCCTTGTAAGACTTTCAGTGTTGCTTGGAGAAATAGAAAAGGACAAATGTCTTGTAAAAACAGAACTTACAGCACTCATGTGAAAACTTCCATTGGCTGCTGTTTTCTGTGGATGCAGAGTGGTGTGTTTCTATGCATGTGAGGAAAATTTTTACTGGAAAATAAAGTGAAAACCAGTTCAGCTTTATACATGAAATTGATGTCTGTATTAAGACAGTGCCTTCTTGGTCACAGCTGACTTATGGTGATCCCATAGGGTGTTCAAAGCAAGAGACATTCAGAGGTGGTTTGCCATTGCCTGCCTCTGCATAATGACCCTGGACTCCCTTGGTGGTCTCCCATCCAAGTACTACCCAGGGCACATGCCACGAAACAGTGAAATATGTTCCAGAAACAGAGCTGCTTTATAAGACTGATGGAGACGGCACTCTCTGGACCTCATTGAACAGGCTATTCCATATATTTGGAGCTGTAATCAAGAGAGTCTGGGCCAAGGAGGATCACATCTCCTGGGGGTGGCACCTCAAGAGTTGATGGGAGGATGAGCAAGGGCTAATTTATGTATTTTTAAATTTATCCTTGGTGTATTGTTATGTTGAAATGTGAATCAAGGTTACAAATACCTGAGGAGTTCTTGAATAATAGTAAAGTCCAGGTAACTCTAAATTAGCTAGCTCAGTTTACTGCTCTAATGTTGTGCCTTGTCATTTATACTGCTAACATGTTTTATGGCTTACCTTTTTGGGCAGGGTAAAAAGGATGTGGCTCAGATATTCAACAACATTCTGAGAAGACAGATTGGTACAAGAACTCCCACAGTTGAATATATCTGCACTCAGCAAAATATACTATTTATGCTGCTAAAAGGGTATGTTTAATATGTTGGATAAGTAAACTTAAAACTGCCACACACACACACACACACACGTTTTAGGCCTGTTTCATTTAGTAATAATAATTCAATAATGCAAAAATATAATTATATAACAATATTGGCCAAGGTGTAACTAAGATACAGAAGGAAGAATAATAATGGAAAGAAGAATAAAGTCCCAAGTATTTTACTGTATCTCACTCCAGTAGCGTTGAAATATCCAAGTCCAATTTGACGTGCAGTTCATCATGGAATGGACATTTCAGAAGTTCCATAAGCCATAAAAAGCCATGACGCGTAGTCCGGATGCTGGTTGCCGCGTTTCGAGTTGTTCTTATGGGACCCATAATCCTTCTTGACTGATTATACTGGCTTTGTATGTGCCTTCTACTGAGATTGGGTCCCTTTATAGCTTATTGCTTTTGAATAAGAACAACTCGAAACGTGGCAGCCAGCATCCGGACTACGCGTCATGGCTTTTTATGGCTTATGGAACTTCTGAAATGTCCACTCCATGATGAATTGCACGTCAAATTGAATTTTGATATTACGCTACTGGAGGGAGACACAGTAAAATACTTGGGACTTTATTCTTCTTTCCATTATTCTTCTTCCTTCTGTATCTTGGTTACACCTTGGCCAATATTGTTATATAATTATATTTTGGCATTATTGAATTATTATTACACATTTCATCTATTGGTTATCTCTAGTCAGTGGTTTTTGTGCTTTGTTCCTATCCTTGTACACTGGCTCCCCTTCTTTTTTGGTTGCTCACTGTTTCATTTGATAACAGCTATGGCCCTTCTTCAGTCCCTACGTGTTGCCTTTAAGTGGAAATGTTTGTGTCAACCTGAAAACATTCAGCCATAGTTGTGGAAATGATTGGTAGCTGGCTGTGGTGTGATTGGGGCTATATATCCAGTTTGCCGACAGAATCATGGTGTGGTGTTGTCTTGCATATTGGGGGTGAACTGGTGTGAACTGGTCCTTTTATAATACCAAGTATTAGTCCAGTTGCTGTTTGTTCCAGAAGCCTGCTGGGTCATACTGAAGTCCTGCTCCCTGATTTGCTGGCTTTTGATATGTGATCCTTGTAGCTGTGGTACACCATTGGCTGAGGCTTGCTGAAACAAAGAATTAATTCATTGGGTGCACTCCCTGCCAGATTGCTGCTTCCTCTCCTTACATTGTCCGCATTGTTACATCAGACACCATGCTCAAATTTTTTCGACACCCAGTTCCTGTGAAACAAATGTGAAGCCTTACATCAGATTAACAAGTAGTGTTGTGTTGCTGCTGTTTGGAACAAAAGGATATTTGAGGCTGTTTTGCTCAATAGTTGACAGGAAATGAGATCCCCTTCATTTTACTTTTTAAAAAATTCTGCAAAAGCACTTAAATGTCATGAAAAGTTGCACAATTAAGAGCTGGGACCATCCTAGTAACGCTTTTGAGAGCTTTTTGTATAATAAAAAGGTTATTCTCCTTAGCTGTTTTGTAGTATAATTCTAGTTGGATTTGACAACATTGTTTTTTTTACCGCCTGTGTAACAGAATCTTGGAAAGTAGAAGCACTTTCTTCCCCTTGTTCTCAAGAAAAGTAGTGAAAAGTACTTCTCTTCTTTCTTCTTTATCTACATTGCATCTCATGACTGAGAATGTCAGTGGTTCTTAAAGTGAAAGAAAGACTGACATATTAATAGGCGGGACATAGTTGATGCCTCATTTCTTAAACAGTCTAGTCTTTATATGCTAGAATTTGGTAATGAGTGCAATGTGGGCAATACATACTGAACTCCAGCAATTATACTTGTTTATTCAAACTTATTGTCTGATCCCCCACTAACTATGTAGTAGGCTCTTAATATGCTAGGATTGCCTGATCTATGAAGATCAAGTTATTTAAAGTTTGAGATCAAGTTATTTAAAGCATCAGTCAAAACTGGCACTGTGTACTGTGCTTCCAAGATGGTAGGAAGCCTTTATGGATGCTGGATTAATAATGTAAAAGTATCTAGTATTACATCCTAGTAAGAACATTTTTTATTTTATTAAAGTTCAGTTGGAGTTTTGGGTGGAGAGATTCTAGATTCTCCAGGCTATTTGCCATCCCAGATAGGCTTGCCAGTGACACTTTGCAGATGCAGTGAAAACAGGGAAGAAAAATGTCACTGCTGCCACAGCATAGTATCTTAAAAATGTTCATCATTGTCATCTATAACTGAATACAGAGGAGATAAAGACTTTTTCAGTTTACATATTGATGCTCAGGCACACAAATTAAATCTGAAAAATAATCAAAATAAATTGGCCTTGAGTTTGCAAGGTCAACCACTCCAAAGGCATCAAAATGAATCTGTAAATCATTGGTGAGAGCAGATTGTTACTCTGTGGAATTGGAATTTGCACACAGTTTCCTAGGACATGATCCACTCCCCTTTTCCCCTTCCATGTGCAAGCAAAATCTACTTCCATGCACACCTGGAATGGGGATGCTCCAAAGAGTCCTTCAATCTTCAGGAGCAGCCTTTTGGGTGTTGCAGAGGAAGCAGTGGCTGGAAGACATACTACTGCACAGCTGGTTGCAAGTTGGAGTTGCAGATACAAAAACTGTAACTGTGCTTTCAAAGCATACTTGTTCCTACGTCACTTTTTCAGACTGGAAACCATTTATTCTGTCATTTTCTGTGTAGCACAAGAATTTAGACTTACTGAACAGGACTCAGTAAATATATATGGATTGAGGATTTAATAATTAATAGTCTTCCCATATAAGCAGTGTCACTGACATTGTAGAGTTCATTGTACTAATGTACTGCTTAATTGCCGAGACCATTTTTAGGAGATTATTTACCAATGTATGTATAACAGCGTGCAATAACTGTGTTTCTGCATCTGAGGTGTTGATTTCTCACTCTGCAGGTATGAATCTCCAGAAATCGCTCTGAATTGTGGAATTATGTTAAGAGAGTGCATCAGACACGAACCACTGGCAAAAATAATATTGTGGTCAGAGCAGTTTTATGACTTTTTCAGATATGTGGAAATGTCAACATTTGATATAGCTTCAGATGCATTTGCCACTTTTAAGGTAACATTTTCTGAATTTCATAACTATGTTAAAAAAACCATCAGGTTTAGGAAACTTAAAATTATTGAAAAACCTGTACAAATAGCCTAGTATTAGCAAATCGGCAGCATTACAGTAACATGAGCAGCAAAAATACCAGTATTTTTAAGCCCATAAAAAGCATGCTGAAGCAAGCAGGTGAGCCTTGCATAACTTCAATTTTCCTGAAGGCAAATAAACATAAATTTCAGTTGGCTTCAGGAATATCTGTTGAGAAGCCTCTGTCTCCCACAGAAAAGTGTTTAGATTTTCACTGACTGGAGTTTCAAACTACTTGGTTCAGTAAGGTGTAATTTAAAGTGTCTGGTTTGATTTATGGTTGCACCTAATGTCTCATTTTAATTTTCATGTTAAAAATATGACTTTCAAGTCTGGGTGGAAATGTTTCACTCCCAAAACACACTAAATTGTAACAGTGTTCTTAAAAACCCATTTCCTGTAACTATTTTCTGTATTTATTTACCTTGTCAGCATCTCCCCCCCCCCCCTTACAACTGCCCCATATTTTTCTTATAGGCAATTCTAGCCAGTTTGGCATTGTGAAATAAATATGGTAACCCCTCAGAGTCAATCAGGTTTGGCTTTATATCACTTAACAGAAAATGAGGCCATTTGGCAAACAGTTTCAATGCCTTTTGAAACAATTACCCAAAAGTTAGTTGTTGTAGATTCTCCGGGCTGTATGGCCATGGTCTTGGCATTGTAGTACCTGACATTTTGCCTCAGAGGTATAAAACAGAGAAAGATGGAGTACTCCCAAAAATCTCCCAAAGGGCACACTTTTCATTGCTGCCAATAATATTTGTTAATAGTACTCCCCTCATTTGACAGCCCTGGTTTGAAAGTAGAAGGGCCAGGTTCAGTAGCCTTGAAATCAGCCTGAGCTGTGTCATAGCATAACTGGGATGGTGACTAATATTTGTTATTATTAAATACTGTGCATTGCTTTTGTTGATCTACCTCTCTAGAGACCTGCTAGAGATGACTTAAGGTTAAAAACAATATATAAACACCCAGAAACAGTGTAAATATATCACCATTAAAATATGCCATAGGGTTGCCAAGTGTGAGCTGCATCCACGTCGCCCGGGAGTGACGTGGGCACACTGGGGGCGGGGCCACGACCATCCGAGGGAAAACCATAACGTTTTCCCTTTGATGACCGTGGCCCCGCCCCCAGCGTGCCTGGCATGCCCGCGTCACTTCCGGGCAACGTGCACATCGGGAGGGAGTTCCCCCCGGGGCCCGATCCACTGGTGGCAGGGAATGGACCTCTGGGGCAGGGATTTCCCCGCCCCCCGGGGGGACTTGGCAAGCCTAATATGCTATGAGTATAAAATAAATGTTGAGCAGCAGAAAAAATCCATAAAACAGAGCACAGGCCACCAAACAGCTAAAAAGACAAAAACCCATCCTTAGAAGCCTGGGTTGAAAGAAGTGATTTGGTCTGGTGCCTAAAAGACAAGATGACAAGCAGCAGGCAAGCTGGGGAGAGGGGGTGGTTTCCCATTACAAAAGTGAGGTGCCAGAAAATAGCCTTTCTCTCCTTGCCATCCACCTCATCTCTGCAGGTGGGAGCACAGAGAGCAGGGCTTGAGAGGCAGAACTTAACTGACAGGCTGGACAATACTAGAGAGGAAGCAGTCTTACCCCGGCCCCAAGATGTTTAGGGCCTTAAAGGTAAGAACCAGCACTTGGAATTGTTCCTAGAAACAGATAGGCAGCTAGAGCAGAAATTTCAGCACAGCGGCAATATGATCCATGTACCCCTGCCCCCAACAACAGCCTGGCTGCTGCATTTTGGACCAGATGACATTTCTGGACAGTTTTCAAAGACCATCCTTACATAGAGCACTTTACAATAATCTAGCCTACATGTGATCAGAGCTTGGATCACCATGGCGGGATCATGCTTTTCAAGGAACAGCTGGAGCTGATAAAATGTCACAGAGTATATCTGTACCCCCCTGTAACCCTCCATTTACTTGGAGATATTTGGAAAAGAAAAATAGTCTCTCTCTGTCCCTCCCTCCCTCCATTTGGAAAGACTTGTTAGCCTTACCTTGATTTATTTTGTGAGGTTATAACAGCATTATAAGATGCATAATTTTCATAAACATTGAATTGTTAAAAACAAAGTTATCCAAAACACTTCCAGAATGAATGCTGATTTTAAAAATCAATACTATTTGACCATCAAGTACACAACCATGAGAAAAGGGTTGGTGCTTTGGGCTAGAGGACAAGAATGGGTTAACTTTGGAATGTCATGAGTTAAAGGTATAGGACAGTGGTGGCGAACCTATGGCACGGGTGCCAGAGGTGGCACTCAGAGCCCCTCTCTGTGGGCACGCGTGCCATCGCCCCAGCCAGGCCCAGACCATCATAAAGTGTTGAATTCTCTGCCAAATAATTTTAAGTAAATGAAAGCATTTGGGATTGCTTTCCTTACTTTGTTTGGATCATCTTAAGTTAATGTAGAAATAAAGTTTCTAAAGTAAAACCTCAGTACTCAGGTTAAATTGCCGTGTTGGCACTTTGCGATAAATCAGTGGGTTTTGGGTCACAGTTTGGGCACTTGGTCTCTAAAAGGTTCGCCATCACTGGGTTAGGAGAATGGAAGAAATCAGTAAAAGGGATTACCGCAGTGCTCAGCAGCATAAGCTTCTGAATGCTTATGCCACAATGACACAAGATTGTGTTGCTTGGCGGCAGCCAGCTAACCCAACACTGTCTTTCTGGTAAAGGGGCTAGCTGTGGCAAGCAAGGGAAAAGAAACCATTGTGTCTTAAATTAGGGGCTCAGAAGGGAAATACCTCTCAATTTATCAAATGTATCTCTTTTCAGGATTTGCTTACAAGGCACAAGTTGCTGAGCGCAGAGTTCTTGGAACAGCATTATGATAGGGTATGTAGTTTCAGTTCCTCATGATGACTGCTCTGATATTTACTAGGACTTGCTTTTCTAGTGAGAAGGCTAATGAAAACATTTTCTTCTCCAGTTGCTTGTTTCTCAAATAAATACGTGTGTGTGTGTAATTTATTTTTATTACTGTAAAATTTTTAAAATTATTATGTTACTATTCTAGGTTGACCTTACGTTGTTTTTGGTGTTTGACAGCAGCTTCTTAATTGTACAATAGAAGTTTTTCATCTAGAGGGCGCATTTCCTCAGTTGTTTTACCCTTCTTGATGCATCTAGGACTTATCCTATAAGGACATATGTGATAATTATGCTCCATCTACTGGCCACTTATGATAAGAATGTAAATCTTACTTGCTGACCTTTATTTACATAAAGAATTACCTGAACATTTCTTTCAGTCATGTTAAACAGGACTATTTAAAGCACTTTAGAGCGTAACACATCAGAAATGTTTGAAGATCTTCGACATGGTCTCTGGGCTTCACACCCATGGGATCTAGTGTGCATGCACTGGATTGATAGGCATTGTAGCAAGCTTTTTTAACGGATTTTCGCGCCCAGACCTCAGGCATGTGCAGGAACCCCACCGCACATGCCCAGAGGGGAGGGTGTGGACATCCTGCCAGTTCCTTTCTTACCGCCGCATTGGAAAGACCTTTTTCTTCGTCGGTCTGATCGGTTCGCGTGTTTTGGCTTTTTGCCTCACGGCTCTTTGGATTTTTTCCTCAGTTTATTCCTTTTCTTCATCGTTCTTTCAAAAAACGTTTTTAAAAAAACAAAAAAAAATATTTTCTGCTGAGGGGGAGGTTGCCGCTTTACCTCAATTGGGCCTTCGGGCTACCCCCCCCCCTCACCCCTTCTTTCTTCATTTTGGTTTTTATGGAGAAGAAGTGGGGCTTTTTTAATAGGTGCAAGGGTTGCGGTAGTAAACTTGCTCCTCCTGACCGTCATACCCTTTGCATACTTTGTCTCGGAGAGTCTCATCGACCCGAATCCTGTCGCCACTGTGCTCGCTTTTCAAACCAGACCCGAAAAAACCGAGCTGCGCACCTTAAAGTGGCCGTGCTAGAATCGGCTCTACATCCTTCCTCAGTGATGGACGCCGAGAGACCATCGACCTCAACGGCTCCGGCATCGAGGCCTGCCTCTGATATCGGCCAACCGACACCGAAGCCTCCGGCATCGAAGGCGCAATCCTCCGCTTCCACGCCGGTGAAAAAGAAGTCCAGGCCAAGTAAGGAGCAAAAGTCCGCAAAGAAAGGCTCTTCCAAACCCCTTAAGGCGGCAAAGAAGGGGAAAGTAGCGGTGGCTGCACTGGGTGATGCCCCTAAAGTGCCTCCCGTTCCAACGACTGTATCAATACCGGAGGCCCAAGTCCCTGCACCGATACCGACCATCCATGTCTTGGACTCCCCTGTCCACCAAATGGAGCGTCCTTACTCCTAAGTCATCAAATGGATGCAGAGCCTTCTCCGTCTCCTTCCCCGTCGTCAACAGTATTGGAAGCTCCCGACATCGATCCACATCGGCAGCGATATGCTTCATGCGACGCGGAGCGTCACCCTCCATGTCTGCACAGTCAATCTGTTGATATCGGCAACCGAGATTATGCGGGGACAACAGAGATTATGCGG